AGGAGGAGGAGGAGGAGGAGGAGGAGGAAGAGAGAGAGAGAGAGAGAGAGAGAGAGAGAGAGAGAGAGAGAGAGAGAGAGAGAGAGAGAGGGGGAAGGAGTTGTAAATATGAAAAGACAAAGTATAATTGACTTTTCATCACTCTGACAAATGCATGATGGAATAGTGTAGAAGGAAGAATGAATGACTTTAGCTCACAGGTTCTGAAATTTTAGTTCATGCTCCTTTGCCTGAGGCACAGTTGAACATCCTAACAGAGAGAGCATCCTGTAGAGAAAAGCAGTTCACTCATGGTAGATGGGAGGGAAAGAGAGGGGGTTGGGGGAGAAGAGGGAGAAGGAGAGGGAGAGTTTCAGTCCCTAAAGACATGCCCAGGGATCTGTCTCCTCCAGCTAGACACCACTTCCTAACGTTCCTGAACCTTCCCAAGCAGCAGCACCAGCCGAGGACCGAACCTTCTACACAGGAACCTTTCTGTGGAGACATTCCAGATCCTAGCCTTAGCAGCAGTGAACTTGGACAAGGATACTGAGGCCATGTGAAGTTTGAGGTCTTCACTTGAAAGAGATGCTCATAACCCCAGCCTGTAATTCCTAGAAATGTTCAGGTTGAGTTACCCTCTTCCCTCAAACTGCCATTTTCCCCTTTTGTGTTCTCTTTTTGTTTTGGTGAGACAAGGCACTTCTATGTAGCTCAGACTGGCCTCCATTACAGCCTCTCCCTCGGCCTCTAGAGTTCTGGGGTTACAGAAATGCATGACTATGCCTGGCTTTCAAGATGGTTTTCAAGGCAAGGTGCAGATTCCAAGCACCTAACTGAAACTGAGCCAAGGAACCTGACCTAGCAGGTCCAGAAAGGAGTCTGACCAATGGGATTGAACAAAAACATGAAAACGAGTCTTCCTGGACCTAAGTTACTGGTGGGGGCCTAACAATAGAGGGTGGCCAGTGTCTGAGTTTCTTTTTCTGCTGTCATAGAATACTCTTGACAAAAGCAATTTATGAGGTTTGGTGGTGGTGGTGGTATACACCTTTAATGCCAGCACATGGGAGGCAGAGGCAGGAGGATCTCAGTGAGTTCAAGGCCAGCCTGGTCAACTGATGGGGTTCCAGGACAGCCAGGGCTACTTTGTGAGACTCTGTCTCAGAATAAGTAAGTATAGCCTTTATTAAAGAAAAACACAACTACTGAATTTTCAGACCTAAGTGCATTCTCTGTTAGTGGATAAGGACAGAGCTGAGGCAGATAGCTGATTACAGTCCCTCTGAAGGCAGAGTTTATATGAGGAATGGCATTTTAAAATATCCCTGAAAGATGGGGTTGTTGTAATCAGAAAAGGCCATAGAAGCCTTCAAAACTAGTTTTTTTCTTCTTACTGCTAAGATTTTATTGACCCAGCCATACATCCCCAAGCCTATATTTAGAGTTTGACATTTTCTCTCAAACAGGAAGGAAATCAAATGCTCATTGTAGCAAATACACAAGTACATTTCAGTAGAACTTCAGTAAACAATTTCAAAGCAACTTTCTAGTAACCTGTGCCTGGTAAGAATGTGTATTTGTTAACTATCTAACAAGGTACCCTGTATTCATTTCACTACAAAACAAAACAAAGCACCCCCTCAAAAGACTCCCAAACCTTACGAGAAGCCTGATTTCTGAGGTAACGAGGAGACGAACCATTGTTGAAAACTGATGTTGTAGGCCCAGCGCCACCGGGAGGGAAGGTCAGCCAGCAGTGTCACCTCTTTAGCACACAGTCTAGGTGATGTTTTGTGAGAGGAGCTGATGAAGCAGGACGTGACTGATGTCAGGTCACAGGCCATTTCCTCAATGGCTCCCAGCCACAGGCTGCAGCCCAACCTCAGGAGGCGCCCTGTGGTCTCAGGCTTGAATGCAGAGATCAGGGTCATGTGCAGAAGTTTCTACGTCTCCTAGGAAAGCAGCTCTTGGAACTAGCTGTATAGATAGTGTTGGCTGAGGAATTATGGGCCGGAGTGTGAGTGGTACCATAAAGACAGGCTGTGGGAAAACCAGTAGGGTTTTCATAAAAAAATAAAGACAAACCCCATACATGCCTCCCTCTGCAGGCCAACACTGAGGATAAGTCAATCTCTCTGTTTTGGGGTTTGCTAGCCCTGTCTAGATACCTTCCTCTAAGCCTTTAGAATATATTTAGACTGGTTTTTTTTTTGCCAATACAAACTTTTAGAATATTGAATTCCATAAGTGTATTTTCTCAGTAAAAAGTAATGTTTAATAAATTCTAGGCTAAAGGAAATTGCAGAGGGGGTGGGGTAGTCCTTCTTTGTTTCAGGAAAGACAATAGACAGCACACATATATATTCTCTACAGGCACACAAGTGACACACGCACACACACACACACATGCACATCTTAGTTCACATGATTCTATGTATCACTGACTGAACAAAACTATCTCCCATAACAATTTTTTAGAGCCGGAGTGAATATCGAAACAGATAATCAAATACCATGTGTAACCAATGTGGGAGTGGGGGCAGGGGGCTGACTGGGGCAGTGGTGTCTGGAGAGAACTGGCAAGAGACCACACATTCTGCCCACATGGCTCAGGAGCACTGTGAAGTAGTAAGGGTGGCTTCCTGGTAGCCCTGTGGAGGGGTAAGGAGGGACTAAGTTCCATGTTGGGGCTGAGGGGTGCCAGATGGTCCTGCAGAGGTGCTGAGCACAGAAAAGTCCACTGACGGGCAGGTGTTCAAGACTGACACAGGAACCATAGGAATCTAAAGTTTGGGGGAGGGGAAGGTGAACACTTGAGCAGCAGAAGAGCTAAGTGTGGAAGGAAGGCTGAAGTGGAAATTTGTGGTTTCTTTGGAAAGTCAGCTACGTCAAAGAACGTTTCACTAAAGCAGACACGTGAAGGAATGTTTCACCGAAGCAGACACAGGTGAAAGGATGTGTGATGGATTCTTCACTAACGACACACATGTATTGGTCTGCCTTATGTGCATTATTGAGCTCCATTGTTGTGACTTCAAAAAGAGAAATGCACCAAAAATCTTCTCTAGAGGTTCCTGTGTCTTCTCTTGCTGCTTCCAAGGACTCAGGCCGATTGGCAGAATGATGTCAGCTGATCCAGACTTTTGCTAAGACAGACTCACATGTTGAGGCAAGACCTGTGGTAAGGCAAGACTCTTGGAGGACACACATTGTTTGGGGGAAGTATAAACAGGATTCGATGGACAGTGATGGAGGCTTAGCTTAGCTTGCTTGTATAGTTAGCTTTGCAATGCTTCTTGGTCTCAAGTCTTCGATGATCTTGACTTTGTTGAGAGAGGCCCAGCTGAGGACTTCTCCTGGCATCCCTGGTGGTCCTGCTCCCTCCTGCTGACTTGTGAAGATTTGCCTGAGGTCTGGCTGTCTCTACTAGGTCATGCCAACCACTGGTGATTCATGTTTGCGATCCCAACACTACCAAACTGGACTGCTGGTATATCTGTGAAGTGTTTTCAAACGGATTGTACTGCTACTGCTAATTCCTGTGAACTGAACTGCTGGCTTCCTGACAATACAGATGGGATTTGTTTCAAAGAACAATTTCTAAACAGGTCCACTGCCCCTGTATCCTAATAAGCTTTCTTTTCCATTACCTCTGATGGGTGGTGGGCGAGAAGGGAGGTTAAAGTGTTTAAGAACAACCATTAAAAGTCGAAGTTACAGAAGGCATTTCAAGGAGGAGGATGTGCTGACACATGCCATGGAGAGAATGTCACTGATCCTGGCACCTATGGTGTCTGGGGCCTGCAAAGGGAGCCATTATCCCAGGAAGGAAGGGTCCTGAGCAGAGTGGAGGAGGCTAAGAGGTGGCAACTCATTCTACTGGGAAGGCAGGAAGGGGTTCTGGAAGTTGAGAAAGTCATTGGCAGAGAAAACTATGCATAGAACAAGTCTGAAGGGTCCAGGAGGAGCATAGGAGGCAAACATGAAACTCTTCTGATAAAGAAGATATCTCAGAACACTTTGTCTGGCAAGAAAGAGGAGCTGTTGACTAGAACTGAGTTCAAGGGAAGTTGAGGAGAGGCTAGAGATGAGGATGGGGGGTGGGGAGCAGGGTCAAAGTGCAAGAGAGGGAGAAGATGATGACAGAGTTGGGGTGCTAACTGGATAGTCCCGGTGTCAAGAGGGCCAAGGGACTCTAGCATGGCCAGCTGCTTAGAAAACATACTCAAGCTTACAGCAGGCTTGCTGCTTATGTAGTCTAAATGTGAAATGTCCCCCCATCTGCTCATGTGACACTTATATGCTATAAATAACATGGGGTGGGGTTGATTTGATGGTGGTCAGACTGAAAGCGGAGACTAAGGCTGCTTAAGAACCTCTTGAGAGGTGGGCTTTATAGAACAGTCTAGCTTTGCCTAGACTGCAGGAGGTATGGAGCCACGTTATACAGATGAGATTACAAGTGAAGGCACAAGGTGTGTCTGTGTATGTGTGACAAGCAGAAAAGAAACCGTATGTGAAGTAGAAGGTCAGGGACCAGATGCTACAGTTCGGACTAATGTCCACACAAAGGTCCACATGTTAAAGCTTGATCCCCAGTTCAAGGCATTATTGTAAGGGGGTAGAACCTTTAAGAGCTGGGGACTATTTAAAGGCCTTCCAGCCAAGAGGGGTCATGTCTTTCAAATACTTAGCTGATCTGCTCTTGCCTTCATGATGATGGACTGAACTTCTGAACCTGTAAGCTAGCCTCAGTTAAATGTTGTCCTTTATAAGACTTGCATTGGTCATGGTATCTGTTCACAGCAGTAAAATCCTAACTAAGACACTGCCTTAGTCCCCATACTTACTCTGGAAACTCTTAGGCCCACGGTATTCGGATCTTCAATATCTTAGTCCAGATACTTAGCATAACTGGAGCACATGGCCAGGTAACTGCATTCCCCCATCAGCCTAAACTCTGGAGTGCAGCTAGCCTCACACCTATCCAGAAACTACTTTCTCCAAGCCAGCTGCCTAGAAGGATTCCTTTTAAATAAAATCCTTGAGCTGGTACCCAAGTCTTTCCTGATGGATGTCAGCAGAAGTGACTAGGTGGCTTTTCTATTACTGATAAGGGAAGGACCTTTCCCGCTCATACCCTCTTCAGGGAGGCGCAGTGATGTGCTTGTAACCCATCTCTGGCCGTGCTGCCAATTAAAATGGCCTCTAATAGGAAGGGCAGGATGAAAGGATGACGGGTCCTTCGTCACCCTCTTCCCTTTGGAGTATAATGTAAGAAGGAAACAATTGCTTAATCTAGTATTTGTTATAGCAGATTCTACTGTAACCAAATTTCTGAAGAAAAATGTGCAACCAACCAGGGCAGCACCAATGTGACTTACCTTAGTGTGTGCCATTCTTACCTGCTTCTAGCCAGCTCCTATTTTAATTTCCCTCCATAACACTTCAAGCCCCTATGAGGCTCACAAGCACCTCCCCAACCTGGTACTCTAAACAAGAACACTATCTTTAACATCACTAGAAATGTTAGAACCAACAAGCAGAGTCTCCTAAGATGTCCTGCCTCCCTTGCAAACCCTTTTTCATCTCAATGGCACAGTGTTTGGGGCCAGACTCCCTGGAGTAAGACACAGCATTACTTAGGCAAGTGAGTTCGACTTTCATTTCCTCAACTGTAAAATGGAGGTCTGTTGGTAACTGTAGGTCTGTGGGTGGTTAGTACCACGCCTGATGTACGGTGGCAACATCTGCCTGCCACAAGCACTGCTAAAACACATGTGGCTGTCTCACTCTGATGTGAGTCTTTTATTGAGCTTCTATTACATCCATACCAAAGTCTGAACTTCTTGATGTTAGACCCTCATGGCACATCTTCCCACTTACCTCCAAACCTTCCCTCCTGGCAACTTCATTTTTGAAGGGTTTTGGCCAGTAATAGCACTCTGCTCATGGATTCAGAAAACCAAATATATGAATCTGATCTCATTTGACAGGTATTTATTAAAATGCCTACAAATAGAGTGTTGGTCAGCGTCCTACCAAATTAATTCCCCTTCTTGAAATGCACCTCCTATAATACACCAACACAAGAAACAGCCTGTTATACGCCTTATGTCTGCGAGCAAAGGCAGCTTTCATTTCCTTCATTTGTAAAATAAGGGAGTTACGTTATCAGCTTGCCATCTCTAAAACACAGCACTACACTGAGGCGGTGATGGGAAAATCCAGTATTTCTATCTACTTCCCGATCTTATGTTGTTTTAATGTACCTAAGGGCCACATCCTGTGGAAAGAGAACAGCATTCCTTCAATAGGGACATGCAAAGGATGAGCCAGAGGGTGAGGCCAGCAGCAAACTAGAGCGTGCAGAGACCTGAGTGGCCAGGGGAGGTGGAGTGGGGAGCTTCCCACCAAGCCCAGCGGGCCAGGCTCCTGTCTCTTCCTTTTCCTGCCTTCCCAGAAGAGGTGAGGAGGATCCTAAGGGAGCACTTACCACAGAACAAGAGTCTGTTTAGGTGATCACAATGGCTGTCAGGTTAAATACACAACCCTCTCCTTCAGTGAAGGCATCTGTAGGTCTTGAGGGGAAAAGAAGAGTCAAGGCCAGAGGGACACTGCCTAGAGATTCCAACACAGAACTTAAAACACTCACACTACGCAATCCACTTCCTGACCTGCTCAGGCCAAGGCCATTCTGGCTCCAGACAAGTTGGGGCCAAAGGATCTTTCCTCATAATAGTAACACTGGTGTTTCTGTGAAGTCAGA